GATGCATTTAATTATTTTGTTCAACATTTTGACAATATATTCAGATAATCAAGACTTTTTCTTGAAAGCTAATTAAGGGTTCCTTAAACACCTGTGAAATCAAAGTACTACCATTATTAATTCAACAGCTTTTCACACAAACTTTACACCTCCGTTCTACTTGGGAATAATTTAAGACAAAGAAAACTGCAGTGAAAGTCAGTCCAAAAGTATAATAATAATAATAATAATGTTTTCATATTAAAATTGTCTTTCCTACATAATTTTGAAGGAACAACTGTAGAGTATTGCTGTGTGACTGACACCTGTCTTCACCTTAACATAATGGTGAAGTAAATTCAACAGATCAAGGAAGCTGACTTTTAGAGTATGGTTATTTTTTCAAGTAATGCTTACCCTATTCCCCTTCATATATGCCACATATTGAGGGTACTTTGCAATGTCAGTGGGCACAGGTGATGCAATCAGAGAGTATTTTCTTTACTTTGCTGGAATATATATTCCTAAATGTTTGAGCCCAGATGGATGTCCTAGATTCAAGTTACAGGTGCATGCCCCTTATGTCTTTACTCACCTTTGGGGCAAGACTGAGGTACACAGCTCCCTCCTTTTCACCACATTCTTGAGATAGAGAAGAAAAGGCCGAAAGTGACAGGAGGGACTTGGCCAAGTGCCTAATCCATCTGCATGTAGTGCACCACTTATGTAGCCAGTGTGACCTAAAATAAGTTGGGGAGGGCCAAAGATGCTGAATTAGCAACTTCTTGATTAAGATCCATCCATGTGTTCCAACAACTCAGTTGAAAAATAAAAGATCAAAAAGGCATCCCTGATAACTGTGCTGTCAAGAGGGATTAGCAACTGGGAGATGTGCAAAGAAGAATTGTTTCTTAGAGCTTCAGAACATTTTTTTTAAGGGATTCTGCATCTAATTTCTGCTAGTAGGACATCCAGGAAGAACAAAATGCAATCATCAAGGCATCTCTCTTATGAAGTACTTCTACATGTTTGCACTAATTCCTCTGAGATGCTGACAACACATAAAATTGGCACTTCTTCTCTTTTACTTGAAATTCTAAAAATTGAATCACCTGCCAAGAATCACCTGCCAATAGGTTTTGTTGCAACAGTGATTTTTATGCAGAGATCCCAATGACTTCAATGGCTATTGGAAGTTAATGGAACAATAAAACATACATCAGGTTTTGCCGCTCTTCTTACTTAATTTCCATTTATATTCACATGGAATAGGATAGGACTATTCCTAAATTGCACCTTCACAGGAGCACTTCACTGCCAAGGAACAACTCTAGGTAATCCTATCTGTGTGCTTAGGTTAGGAAAACCAGGGAAGAAGCCTATGGAGCTCATTTGCAGCTACATCGGGGTTCCAAATGAATTTAATCAACACAGGGACCATTAGTTCCACTACAGAGACAAAATAGCATCATTTTATGACAGTATCATGGCTGAATCCTACACAATGCAGTCCCTTCTCTTCCTCTTTTCTTGGTATGCTGTTTCCTTCCTTATCTGACTGCCAGTGCTGTGATGAGGGAAGTGATGTTAATGAGGTCAGAACTAAAGGCCAACATTATTTTATGAAGGATATATCTTATTTTTGTTTATATCTGTCTGAAGATAGTTTTAAGAATATTTTTTGGAAAATCATGATGCAACAGACTTGGTGCTCTGTGACAATGTAATGATTTTATCACCCCAAAATTTCCTCTTGACATTAGAAAAAAAAAAGAGAAAGTCATCCACCACTATTTTACTCCATCCATCAACACAAGAAGTATCTTCTTGGGATAGCTGTCCAAAACACTTTTCAGAGGTATCAGTTTATATTACCTGTCATTCAACCATAGCTGTATTTTTGTTTTTATTTACTGGACACAACTGATATCTAAGAAAGTTTGAAAAAATATTTGACTATTGTCAGTAGAGTTAAGTATTTGTTAGTACTTCACATACAAGTACAAAATGGAAAGAAACTGCTACCTTTAATATGGGATATAAAAGAAAAATTACACACTTAAAGTCCTAACTCCATATTTTTATGGAAAAGGAATAATTTGCCTTGTCTTGCTAAGATTGCTCCAAGCTTTGAAAAAAGGTGAAGAGTTTTTGTTTATTTCAGTGAACAGTCTTGATGTTAAGTCAGGAATAATGTTGTGTGGATGATGTTACACAGGAACTGACTAGATGTTTGGATTAACATCTATGAATGTGTGTAAATGAAGAGAGAATTAAAAAAATACACAACATGTTACCTTGGCAAAACATTTCACTGCAACATATGGGCCAGAGTTTGACAACTAAAGGACTTTGGGGACAACTAAAACTTTGTTAATTTCATTTTACTTTTTCACTTGCGTTGCTATATGAGAATAAGGCATATTGGGCAAAATGTATGCATACAACTTAATCTACTTTACATTAGAAGCATGTCTGAACTAGACACAGAGGAGACATTCTGTGATTCGCACACCTTGCATGTGGATGCAATGTTTTGCATGGTGTCTTTGTAAATTGCTGCAGACTATCTTCACTGCCAGCTAGAGAATTGTCTATCCACATAGTATTCTCCATTACCAATTTCTAGTTTTAAACTGTATAAAAGGCAAATAAAATCAAATTTCCATCAAGTACTTTATTTTGATAAAATAATTAGAATAGAATAGAATAGAATAGAATAGAATAGAATAGAATAGAATAGAACAGAATAGAACAGAACAGAACAGAATAGAACAGAACAGAACAGAACAGAACAGAACAGAATAGAATAGAATAGAATAGAATAGAATAGAATAGAATAGAATAGAATAGAATAGAATAGAATAGAATAGAACAGAACAGAACAGAATAGAATAAAACAGAACAGAATAGTTCAGTTGGAAAGGACCTAGAAAGATCCCCTAGTCCACCTGTCTGACCACTTCAGGGCCAACCAAAAATTAAGGTGTATCATTGAGGGCATTGTCCAAATGCCTTTTGAACATTGACTGGCCTGGGGCTTGAACCACCTTTCTAGGAAGCCTGTTCCAATGTTTGACCAATTGTTACTTTCATCAAAGTGGTCTTGTATCCTTGTAGGTAAAGGACAATAATTATAGCAATCAGGCTGCAGGGGATAAACATAAAAATGTTTGAGAACCCTTGTTTTAAAAAAAACATTTGGGTTATGTGGTTTTTGTTTTATTCTATTTATTTATTTACTATTTTATATAATGTACTAATTCCTCAAATTCTTTTCCATTCCTCTTTCTACTTAAAAGCTGGTGTTTTGCTTCTAGGCACATTCCCTTTCTCCTTATCTGTGAAGTACATAGAGCCTCTATTCTTGCCAGCCTGCATTAAACACTGCAATACAATTATCCTTAACCACTGGACTGTTATCTGAGGGAACTGAATTAGACTTTCTAGCTAAAAGAACATCACATTATTTACACAAAATGTTACTGTTGAAACAGATTCACTTTAGAGTATTATATAATGGTTAGGGTAGTAAAGACTAAAAAGATCAGATCACTGATTTAAAACAGAACAAGAAGTTGTGTCTGAATTGGAGGGTAGCTGTTGAGGGTCTTCCCAACTAGGCTATTGCCTATTCAGAAGCATGGAAAATCAGTTTTGCATTTAGTCTTGCTTCTGAGTTCCAGCTGGAAAAGCTTCCTCAAGGAAGGTTTATTTGGGGCTGAAAGAAGTTCTGCAGGAAGTTTCAGTGTCAGTTTTTCACAAGCAAAAGCTATCAGAATTTTCACATAAAAAATACAAATCAGCTTTAAATTGGTTTTCAAAAAGATCCCTCACAGGATCTCTTTTGGTTTGGTATCTTGGACGTAATGGCAAGAGGCAGAAAGGGAAGTGTTCAAGAAATCACAGTGTCATATAAATTGCTTCTTTTCCTTTAAAAAGTGTAATATATTCCATTTATCTCTTGTTTCGGCATAGAAGAAAACCATTTCCCTCAGAAAAGGCTATCTTAAATTAGTTTAGTGATCTTATAGCTGAAATACAAAATAACGAGTTAGCATGTGCTATGCATTTTAAATATCTTGAATATAGTTTGCCACAAGTATTATTTAAAATTACTGTGTCAATAGTATGTCAGTATACCTTTCATCTATGACATCAGATTGTGACTGATCTATACAAAACCTCGTTACAATTTAAATTTGTTGTTTATATCTGCATTTTACTTGTATTACCACTCTAAAATGTGACAAGAAATCATCATGGAACAGCACTTAAGACATTTCATGACTAAAATATCAGCCAATATACTTAGGAGTTTTCCAGTAGAAGTCACCCCATACCTAGATTTGATTTCTTACCTCCACCCTCGTATGGATTCCCATCATTGCCCATTCACAATCACACCCTTGACCATGAAAGCCAGAAGCAGTCTAGCCATTAAGCATCACAAATGCTGTTTCACCAATCCACCCACATGTTCAAATTTAGTGTCAGTGACTTTTTATGAGCATCTCAAATATGAACTGTTTGGTGGCAGCCTCCCATCAAAGACAGCGAGCAGCCCTGCCCCTCTCCCAGCATCCCCAAGTGTTCCCCAGGCCCTCTCCTGCCCCTGGCTCCCGGGGCCTCACCGAGCACCCACAGGTCAGGTGATGCTCCAGGCCAAACTTGCTCCCACTGGAATCACAGTGAAACTCAACCAAATTCAGTTGAAATGAGCACATAGGGTGAAAATACAAACATAATGCTACATGTTGCCGGTGTTGCATAGTTTCTTCCAAATTTGAAGTGAGGAAAAAATGAAGGGAAAGATAAAAATGTGAAGACAGTTGCTATCTTTTCTCTTTGTGAATTAAGGAAGAGTTTTCATTTCTTTGCCAGATAGAGCTGTAGTGACTGTTGTCCTTACTCTTCTTTTTATTATGTAAATTAAAATAATTTCTGAATAAAAGTTCCTTCCCTTATTCCCCATATACAGGCTAAAATATAAACAGAAAGAGATAAGTAAAAATTCCAACCTTTATTCCACTCTGAACAAGCTTGTGTATATCCAAAAAAGGTTCCTTGATTATGTCTCCTTCAGGACTGAAAATCTTCACGTATCCTTCTTTTTCAAGTATAAAGAGGCGATGAGATCCATCCCCACAATGTACTGCTCCAACAGGCTGCCTTAGTCCACTCACAACCTCCTGAATACAGAAGCAGTTGTGCTTGTGTTTTCTAAAAAAAATTGAAAAAAACAGTGAGAAATTTCTTCTTTGTCGTAACCATGACACAACAATGTCCCTAAAAGATAAAATGACTGCTCTGTAATGATAGTACAAACACAGTCATACAATTCAGAATAAATTGTTTCCTTGAATGTATGCACACAGATAATACTGAAAATGAATTTATGCTTCACTCAAGCAAAATTTGGCTTGTATACAAGAGAAATTTAAGTCATTTTAAATCTAAAATGTAGAGGAATAGCTAAAACATGGTAAAAGAGAAAACAATTTATAAATAGAAAAATTCTACAGTACATTCCAGCAATTCCACAATTTGCCAAAATTTGGCTTTGAAAGTCTATTAACACCTTATTAGTAACTTAAATATCAAATGTTACTGAATGTTACTGCAATATTGAAGCTAATGTAACTTTCTCTTTGGACGTACGCTAGCTGCAGCAAAAGAAAGTACCATCTGGAAAACACAGCTGCTGAGCATAAGCACAGACTGAGCTGGTTCACTGTGAAAACCACAGGCTTTGGTTTTTGTTTTTGTTTTTTTTTTTTTTTCAGATTAAACAGCATTTATCTTTATGAACCTGCTGATCTCTTCCTCTTTGTCATATTCTTCCATGTGGTCCAGGGAGTTAGAAGCTGGCCCTCGCACTTGTTTTCTTGGAAAATCTGGAAAGCATGCACCACCATCTTTTCTTGCATAGTAAAAGCAAAACTCATCAGCTGTAGTTTGGAGAAAACCTTAAAAATGCAAAAGAGCATACAAATATTTAGTGTGTTGTCATGTCTGCAGTTTTGTGCCGTCAAACTAATCTTTAAATAGATTATATTCTGAGTGGAAAAATAAGTGGTTTTAAACAAAGTACTATCTTCAAAAAAGGCCTGCTCTGAATAAATACAAACTGACTATTACCTTTTATAGTTTTTAATTTGTATCTGTAGTAAACTTTATTTTCAGTGTGCATAAATAAGAAAAAAAACAATTAACTCAAAATGACACTACAGTTACTCATTAAAAAAAATGAAGGGACAAAGTTCAGAGTTAAGGCTGTCATATATTTTTTCCTGATTTTAACCCTACTAATGAAGTGTAATATATGCTGTAAAATAGCTTGAGCAACTTTCATATAACTTTTTTCTTGCTTTAAGCTTTGCATCTTATCGCTTTTATATTGCTTTAGCAGAACTCAGTATCTTTTGCTACTCTCTGTCATCCCCAAAATATAATGAAAATGGTAACTCTTCCCTGATTTAATAACAAAAAGGTGGCTTGTAGTAAAAACTTCGGTAAAAACTTCTGTAAAAGACATGCAGTAAAGACTTTGTGGAATGCTGGCACCAGACATCAGTCGGAGAGGTGAATAATTAGTTGTCTCAGAAAGCAAGAAGTACTGCTTAAAACTGCACCTTGTTGACATGCAGCTGGCCTCTGGTTGACTCCTGACAGTGCCGTGGGTGAAGGCAGTGTCCCATCGCAACGTCTACTTCCTCGGCCCCCAACCCTGAGAAAAGGGACGTGTCTCATGCTGCATTGGAGCTGGCTTTAAGCTGGCTTGGATGAAGGGTGGTCTTTAGGTTTTAGGTTAAAATGGGAGGGAGTTTGAAGACAAGGGAAACAAGATGTTGGTAAAACAAAAGCCTTTGAGGAAAATCCCTGCCACTGCAGATACTATGCTATGTTTAATGACAGCAAAAATATCTTTCTGTCCAAAAACTTTTTTCTAGTAATTTCCATCCAGTTTTTAATCATTAATATTGAATCTAAGATAGAATTTGGCTAGTTACATATGCACTGTTTTACTAAAACAGATGTTAATACAATGTGTCTTAAGACACCTTTATTGCTCTTAGCGTTATTGGCACAATGTTAGGATGTACTACAGTCCAAGACCTAACTGATGGAATACACAAAATTAGCACTTAATTGGAATTAGAGGCCTAATTTATGCATGGCTTTACCACTTGTGAATAATGCAGTAATCCATAGATCTTGCCCATAAAACCTCTGGCTTACAACTTACAATAAGAGCTGATCAGGGACAGCTGTGATTCTTTGGAAAATGCCAATTTCTTAAAAGCAAAGGTTTTTCAGAAATGTTATCAGTTTTGACAAAATTTTAGTTAAAATGCTGTTTCTGGTCCAAGATGAAACTTCTGGTCTAAATGAAAAAGAGAGAAACAGACAGCAAAGCTCATATCACTATACTCCAATGTCTTGTAATTAGGGTGTTTCATTAGGAAGAGGAATATTCAGGTCAATGCCCCTCATCTGTCAGGCAAGAGTTTGACCCTAAGTCTCCCATTTCCCAAGTAAATGTCCTAACAACCGCTTTATTAGCTATCCTGGGGTGGTCTCTCTGTGGCTTTCTTCATGGAAAATTTCGAAAGAGTTCAATTTCTTCCTTATGTGGAATAGGAAAATTTTTTAGATCCCAGAATTTTTGTGGAGTGGAAAGCCTTTCCCACCCAACTATACTTCTTTTCATATGCATCTTCCTTTAAAAATATTGGACAAATAACATGACAAAGCCTGCCTTTGGCTTCTATAAAATAGTATCTGGAAACACATGGTAGTGCGCTTGTGGTATAAAAGTTTAATTACCATGATTTGAGCTTCAGTAAATATCATCTCTGAGGAGCTGGTTTTAATTTATAGTAGTTATTTGGAGAAAATGTGAGATACAATTTCAAGTGGAACAACTGAAGAGGAACTCTGATATAATCATGGACTGGTATTCCAAGGCTTTGTAGATATAATGCCAAAATCAAAGGTAATCTACAATCTTGGTGCTGAATTATTTGACTTAAGAATACATAGTTTTCTCTTCAGTGATTTCTTTCTCTAGGCAAAGGAGATCATTACAGAAAATGCAATAAGTGGATTAGAGGTGTACAATTTCTGAGAATTTCTAGAATTGTCTAAGTATATAATCTACTATTTATTACAAATAAACTACTCTTGGCTGGAATTTTACCTTTAGTCTGAAAAACTGAGAGCATATAATGATCTTATTGTTTACTTAGTACATGTGCATTTCAAATAACAATCAGATGCAAACTCAATTGAGTAATTCATTAAGCAATGCCTTTTCTTGCATGTAAGACTAATCTGTTTTCTTTATGAAATATTTTATCATGCATTTAGGTACATCTTGCACTACAGTGGGCTATAGTTTCTGCTATTTGGCAAACCCATCAGCAGATCTGAAAAAAGATAAGACTTACATTCCGATTTCCTTAGAAACGTTCTTAAAAACAGGTTTGAATTAAACTATGAAAATCAGTCTGTAAATCGCTAAATTGTTGCATTATTGGAAGGAATGTGACCTCTGTAAATACAGTTTCACCTGTGCATTAAGGATGGAATTTTGTTCTATAAAAAAACAGTAAGCTACCAAAAAAATCGTTTCTGTGTTCTATATGCTAGATTCACCATACAGTTTCAGTAAAGACAGTTAAAAAAAGATGCTTCTACTTTCCTATCTGATAGTAACTATTTAATGTTTTCTTTATTATTCTTAATTTGTGAGGTCTTTAGTTGAGAGGTTGCCATTTTCTTCAGTGTTTGTACAATGTCCAGAAGAATGGTCCGTGACAAGCACCCCTAAGCACTGGAATTATCTGGGGGGGAAAAATATTGTTTTTCTCAGGCAGAGTTTATTCAGATACAGCTCGGTCACTGCCTCTACGAGAGCTATGCCCAATAGAGATGGTGACATTTAGTCCTGTGTGAATTTCCGAACATATTACTTTATTTTAAAGGAGTAATGCATATCATTACAAATTTCCTAACAATTCCGTGTGTTGACAGAGCAGTTCCTGTGTTAAAAAGGAAAACTTAAATCACAAAGGAAAATTAAACACAATGTTTAAGTGTTGTATTTGTTGGATTTTGCATAGGCTTGCATTTCTACGCTTTTCAAATATCTTGCAAGCCAGAGTCGAACAGTTTTTGAGAAACAAACATCTCAGTTAAGGCAGTTACAGTGAAGTCTTTCTGTGTTCTTACTTGTTAAAATCTTCAGGGATCAGGTGCATGATTTCAAACTTTTTCAAAGAACTTTTGCTCTCATATGATCCTTACTTCCTCTCTCCACAAGTATTTGTGGTCAGTTATTCCTCACAGTGTATCTTGTTATTCCTATCCTACCTTCACTAAATTCTGCTTTGCTAAATTCCCTGCTTGACCATCACCTTGCCTCTTCTTTCTGATATACAACTTAATTGTAGCAGTTGTCTTGATCTTTACGACAAGGGAAGTTAGCATTCACTCCCTCATTTGCACAGCACACAGGATTGAATATCATCCACTTGTTTGCACAGACCTGCACCTGCTTAGAGAGCATATGGAAATCACGCTCACCTACTTTATTCCTGCTACATTGTTGACCTTAAGCATACAGTTCTGTATTGTATAGATGAGGCCTTTGACTGTTTTTTTTTTTTTTTTTTTTTTTTTCCTGGTTTGCATTTCCGACAGCTAGATGTGAATTTTTTCACAAAAAAAAAATTTCGAAACATAACAGGCTTGGTGGTAGTTCACATCACCTCCTACTGGTTTTGAAGCAATTAATGGCCCTCTTGTCACACTGACACATTGCATGTGCCTGCACAAAGGCAGTGCCAGGGTTAATCTCCCTGCTGCTCTTATTAGCAGCAGCAACACTACTATTTTTCTCTTCAGAAATAGTTGACTGTGTTGACTGTGGTTATTAGCTGACTACATTAGAACTTCAGGAAGTGTTGAGTGGCCTGCAGAACTTCTCAGAAGACTTCTACCATTTGGGGCCGAGGTGCTCCTGTTTGGAGTTAAAAAATTCTTATCTAGCATCTCTTCTGGCAATGACTGCATTCAGATCTGGGCCTGGATCTGGATTCACACACCATCATCTGGAATCCATTTCTTCAAATGGAAATAATGGAGAGCACATCGTTCAAAATTTGTCCAATATCCTCAGGTGGCAGGGCCACACGTTTGTTGCTTAGAATATGTTGCTTCCACTGGCACAAATCAAGTTTCTGCTCATGCTGAAAGGGAGAATCAGCCGTGCCTTTCTTTACATGACCGTATTAATAACAAATATTAGACAGTCTTCTCTTCTGACCTTGCAAAACTTAAAATTCCTGTTGTTTAAAGAGACTTCATTAACTCCAGCTCCTCATCAGTAATCGCTGAAACCGAGGTTCGCAGTAATGATTGGATGAGAAATAATAAGAAGAGTCAGCCAGGATGAAGCAGAGAAGTTCTATATTCAGACATTTTGTGAAACATTGCACCCTCCTGCAGTAACAGATCCATAAAATCCTAACAGCTATTCTTCTTGTTCTGCTTCAGTTTTCAAGAATTCAAGAATTGATCCATTTATTCTTTGGATATTCAAAATTGCTAAAGAGGTCTGATACAGTCATAACTGGTGGGCAGACTGCTATCTTCAAAAGAATGAACCAAGAATCTACTTACAGTTTTCATCTTTGCAAATGTAAAAAGAACAATAAATGAATTTCTGGAGCTAACTCATCAAAAAAAATATGTATAATTTCTCAGTCTTCTTGGTTAATGTGTACTGTGAAAATTTCAGTTCTAGAAAAGATGCTTGCTATCTTGAATCACTATTAAAATTTCTAACTTATGCCAAAATTAGGGCTTCGGGGCTAAAATTATTTTTGTAGTCAGCAATTTCCTTAAAGTCCTTTGTATTGGTGTTCAGAAACAATTAGCACTCCTTAATGGAGGAAAAGTAATTATTTGAGTTTTTAACAAATGCACAGTGAATCATTGGCAGAGACCTCCAGTTCGGGGCATGTTAATTTCCAACTCTTTGTTTAATCCTCTAGGCTAAACTGAAAACATAGCTTTCATAATTTTTATTTTTATTTTTATTTATTTTGCAATAAATATTAGGGATATATGGGTCTCACAAGTAAAACATAAAACACAAATAAGCTGTCTTTATAATTATTCATATTTTAGAGTGCCTATTATACTATATTAAAACCCTATAAGCCGTCTTCTCAAAAAGCATGACATGAATCTTAATACCTTCATGAAATACTGGTATAGGCATCAAGAACCATGTGTACCAATCAGAAAACTAACTAAATCATCTCTGCTGGTGATGCAAGGACACAACAACTTGTTTTTAGTTCTGCCCACTTTCAGAACCACTATATAGAAAGATTATTAGCATCTGATTGATGTAGGAAAAATCCTATATTAACTGATGCTAAAGTATGTAAGCTCTTTTTCTGCAAAGCACAGTGCTCTGTCCAGTGCTAAAGTTATGCTTTCATCTGGTTATCTTTCAAGGCAACCTGGGTGGTCACAAAAAGCACTTGACATCTTGATGCACTTCAGCAGTTTTACATATACACAAACTTTGTAGAAAAATAAATTTGTCATTCGTCACCACATATGTTGATCTGAGGAGTGAGGTTCCTGTGGCTATAGCTCCTGTGCTGCTCAGCCCTTTCTCTTTCTCTTTCCCTCTCTACTTCTCCTCATTTTTTCTCCCTTTTCACCCTTTCACTTTTTCCAATTAAAAAAATTGTTCCCTCAGAAACAGAGAGTTTCACAAAACAACTATGAGGGACTTGCTCTGCTGAATATGCTAATCATTTGCATTAGTTACAAACTCGTGTCAAAAAAAAAAAGTCTTTGTGCTGACTTCTTATATGGGCCAAACATTTAGAATATCTAATCTATTATCACTGTTCAGCAGGCAGTCTTGGCAACTGTGACCTATTCTGCTTTGCTTTGGAGAATGTGATAAAGAGCAAGAAACAGCTGGTTTAAGAAAGCCTTAGAAACATCCCTTAGTTTATAAAGACAATAATAATATTTTCATATTTGAATGGGTTGAGATACATGTTAAACCACAGTAAAGGGAAAAAGTAAGTCAATTCAAAATGTTTTCTCAAGCCAATAAAAGAAGGCTGCAAAAAATCCCTGCACTCTTGGGATTTCAGAGAAAACAAGTACACGCTGTACACACGCAATTAAAAAACCCTCCTCCAAATCTCATCCACTTAAACTATCCCCTTTACTCAAATATGTTTATGTTCTATTACAAAGCTCCGTTCATATGTCAAAAATGACTATTCACAAATTCATTTTTCACATCCTTATTAACTCTGCTTTCCAGTCTGTGTTGCTAGTAAAAAAATCTTAGCAGTTTAATTATTTTCTCCTGTGTGACATTATTTATAAGTAGTGTTTGGAAAAGGAAAAAAGCATAGTTTAAAAATGACAGCCTTAAACATATAAATAATTTACTATTGAGAATACCAAAGATGTTATTTAATATAATAGTGTATTACGACAGTATTTCTAAAAGAACCATCTTCTGTGGTTATTTTGTTGATTTAGTTACAAGTGATAGCACACATTTGGTGACTGCCCTAGACAACACCGGTCAAATTCTGGTTTTGGTTATGTTATGTCCAGCTAACTCTACTGACTGCAGTGAGGAAGTGTTAGGTTAGTTAAGAATTTGGTTGTTAACAGCATGTTGGAACTGATTCAAAGATCACAGAAGTCTATCAAATAGCTCCCTTTGATTTCAATGGGCTTTAAACTCTGTGGAAAAATACACCAGTTTCTAGGGTAACAAACCCAGAAAAAACACTTTACTCATCAGCTTGTAGAGTCTACAGAGGACAACCAGCATCCTTTCTTTCTTGCATCTTAAAGCTGTATGTCCTTTAGAACAGCATTTTGGATGGCCAGATAATTGTTTACATGATTTGAATGACCACAGTAGCATAGCAGTAGAGGTAATATTTTCAGATATTTTCAGGGGCCTTTGACAAAAAGTAATCCTGAGTTTTATGGGTAGTTTTTCATGGAGAGTTTAATAGGAAGGTGGCAAGAAAGTGCTCAAAATGTTTACCTCCCCATGTAAAAATCACCCTGGACGCCCTGAGCTATTCTGTTTTTGCTTAGGCAAAATCTCCTTGATATCAATGGTGATTTTATTTAGCTAAAGACCTGGATCTACGACTGCTCAGGCAATATCAACATTTCAAAGCAGACATCCTTTAGTTCCGTATTTTGTTATAGGCTTTACCTGGTATGTGACCTCTGCAAGTATAATAGAATTCTTTACAATAGTCTTTGCACAGGTAGGGAAGAGTTAGCTCTCTTTCAGATGTTTCCCCTTTCTCAGGTGAGTGGAACAGATTCTGGGCATGAGGTGAGCAGTGTGCACATTTGATTTCCTCCAGTAGCTTCGCACATTCTGTGTTGTTCGTAACAGAAAGTATCTGCAAGCCACAAACCAGAGACAAATAAACACATGACCTGTTTCCCCATCTTACACACAAAAAAAAAGATTTCATGATCCAATGTAATAAATAAGGCTAACAGAACCAGTACAGTTAGTATAAATGCATCATGTTTCTCGTCACCATTCCAGAAGAATCAAGCGCAAAAAATTTTACTATGAAATGTGCAATATGCCATTAGAACAGTGAGATGTCAAGTGTTAGCTTCTCTTTCCCAGAGAAGAACAATAGTAGTCAAATTATTTTATGGACTCAAGCCTGCAATCTCGTATCGCATAGGCAATCTCTGAGCTACAGCAATGATTTGTATGAGGAGCTACAGCAGCAGGCCATCTGCCCACTAATGAGAAATACTTAAAAACATAACTTGTAGGGTAACCTATGCAAATATATAGAGACTAAAAGCTGCAATTCTACAACCAAAACACATCAAGGAAACCATATCTTGGTGTATCTTGAACTATGCCACAGTCCAGCTACTGAAGTGATTGCATTAGAGTTCTGCAGGTGCCTTGACTTGTTTTAAATGCTGCTTTCCTTTTTTACAGTCTGTAGTGCAAAATACTTGGTGGTGGGAAAAGCTGTATGTTTTCAAACATTTCATAAATGAAAAAACAGAATTTGTCCATAGCATCTTGATTTGTCTCAATATTGAAAGTGTAAGTTTGTCCTGAAAAAAGAGCATATATTACGCATAGTACTTGAAGAAGCACTAAACCACGATTGATGATGTGTTTAAGTAAACACAGGAGCCTAAGGAGCGCAATGTCATCAAATCGTGAAAAATAATAGAAAACAGCATAGTTGTCTTTATTAGTCTTTGAATGCAGTGCACTTTGTTAATCTATTGTTAACCACATGGATTGTTTTTTGATCATTCATCCCAATGGTGGATAATGGGAAATGTGTTCTCAGTTGAGAGGGACTGAATCTGATCCAATACAAAAACAAAGCTCAGGTTCTTTTTACAGTTTGTTTAGCACAGTTATAAACAAAGACTGTAAGACGCTTATTTTAAGAAATATTAATGCTGTAAGTATTTGTATTCTGTAAAATTTGTAAATATTTGTAAATTTTGCATTTGAAAATATCAAAACAGTTTTGCAGTAGTTCATATCTCTGAGTTGATTTGTAGCATGACTTTACAATGTGTCATTCCCTTGCAACATAACATTGATAGGAATCATCTAAATTATTTTGGATAAAAATTGTTATTTAATACATGAAGACTCTTGATATGTTGTAGTATGCTGTCTCATAGGTTGTCGGTCTTCTGGGATGCAGCGCTTTGGTAACGGTCCTGAACTCATTTTATTTACAGATCATAATTATATGAGCACAAAACATTTAAGAGAAATGCCCTCCCTGTTGTTTTAAACAGCTATGCATTCAAAATAGAATACAACATATGGCCTGTATAGTTAAAAAAATCCTAATTAAAGGAACATTAATTTAAAAGGTAAGCTCTTTCCAGGAAAATTCAGTCTTAACCATATATTGTCAAAAGGCCATCTGAAACGTGTAGTGAAGTTTCATGGCTAAGTTAGAACCCTGATTAGAAGAACACCATTTGGCCTCTAACCTTAATGTAGAAGAGCTACCACTGGCTTCAAATATAATTCCTCCAGATTTGCTGGGATCATTAAATGCAATACATGCTCTGTTCTTTACACTATCTGTTCTTAGTTCATCCTCATCATCATAGCACCTGCAATTAAGTAATGTGACTAATATGTACGGTTTATCATCTCCCTTCAGGTCTTCTTGGGACTCACACTGTTTCACATGTTTTTTGGCAAGGGCTTATCATTTGTCTTAAGCTTGAAGACTAATGAATTAATTGCGTGTTGCATGCACAGTGAAAAGTTTGCCTTTACCCTGAATTCACCACGGAATTCTTTCCACAGCCCCAGCTCCTTCTCTCCTGAAAAAAAAATCCAACATTCTTTTTGCTAGATATCTTATTTGGGCCACAGCTGCAGAACTATTAGTGGAACATGGTCTTAGTTCTTGAGTTTCAGGTGTTGTTCTAGATATGGCAGATTTGGGAAAAATGCCTCAAGGACAAGAACTAAAAATATAATGATAACTACAATAAGGTATGACCAAAATAAATAATAACTATAAGTTTGAACAAAATACTCTCTGGTAGTAGAGAACGGACTTCACAGAAGTCTTGCAGAACTCCACACTGCTGAGGCAATATGCTGCATGAGCTGGACCTTCTTAAGGGGGAGGATGGCATCCTGACTAGGTACCTATTGTTCTGATGGGAAGTAGCTTATACAATTCAGTCAAATCATTGCCAAATAGGACAATGATTGAAGCACTATCCATAAATGCTATTTTTAAAGAACTTTATGTCACTAAGAAGCTGGGAGGTTTCCTTAGTAAGGATGAAATGACCAATTTTGGTGTTTCCACCAAAGGAAAGCACACCTGACTACAGACTCTTACAAATACTTGCCTATATTCAGTAGTATCACCTGCTTTGCAAGAGTCTCATTTTTTTCATCAGTGGGTTGATCTCAGGCAGTAGGCTTTCTTGCGGTAGCAGTATGATGGTATGTTTAGAAGTACACGTAAACATTAGGTATTACTAGTAAATATTTGGTGTGTTTATTGAATTAACTCCACAGTGATGCTGATATAAAATTCTACTACTTCTGTTACTTCTGCTGGAAGTCTCCAGAAAGAAAGAATTGTGAACAGAAAAAAAATAATACAGGATAGCAAAGCTAATTTACTGTTTCTTGTGGAAAACGTAATTGACGTTGCCTGGTGATACAGGAGAAGAAATGCTTGCCAACATTTCAGTCCTCAAAGTTAAGACAAAAGGATCCTAATCCCCCTGAGCAGCTGCTATCCAGGAATTAACCACAGGAATTCACCCCCTCATGTCATTTCTGGAATGAATCTTGGTCATATAATAGCTAATCGGAAGATTAAGGAATCAGAGTCAATCAATTATCTGAAAATCAAGTATGTTATTTAACTTTTAGAATGCTCAAGCAAAATCGGGTGGTAACATTTGCTCTGTGTGAGGTCTGATGTATAACTGTACTGGCTCAGAGATAGGACAACAAATCGATAACGTATTTATCCTGGAGTATATTAAATCGTTTTTAAGTGAAAGCTGAAATACTTATTGAATGAAGCTTTTTCTGCTGGATCTCTACTTTGAGAATGACCTTACAGTTGACAATGGCTTTGGTCTTTTGAAGAAATGTAAACTAATTTCCTGCTTCAATTTTTAAAGTCGTGTGTGAAACCATCAAACTACAGTGGTTTAAACTAACTGTGCTCTGGAAAATATGTAAAACTTCCAAACATTTATTGCAACATGCCTAATAATGATTATGCCTGCTGCTGACTAATTTACAACATCTGTAAGATCATCCTTTAATCTCTAGCCACATGAATGTAAAACTGGTAGACTCAAGGTAAGATAAATCCTGGAATGTGCAGGACAGTATAGCATACAAAATTGGTTTATCATCAACAAAAAGAATAGTGCAAAGAAGAAGAAACAGAGGAAGATACAGTAAACAGAAATTCTTTACATTGAATATAGTCATCTGTTTTGTGTACCCTGTCATATCTAGTCTGAGAAAGGCAGTATAATTTTGATGTTAACAGAAAAAAAAAAATAATCAACCCACAGTGAAATAAGTCATTGCACTAAGCTGTATTAGATATACACACATTTATGTCTAAAAATCATATGCTTACGAGATTGTTCAGCTGTTGGGCTGAACATATGCTTCTTCTGTATTATAGAACTGGATTATGTCATTAAAGAGTTCGGTTTCAATTTTAGGGTAATATGTAAATAGATCATTGTACTAAGGCAGCTGTTAAAGGGACCCCAAGATGAGTTATTTGTTTAGTTGGATGTGTTCAACAATAGCCTTTGTTCGTGAAAGAGCCAGAGCAAACAAATGATTGTAAAAGGGCACACTTGAAAACAATTACTTTTCACCCATTCCTTGACAGCCTTGGCTGTGAAGCCATCCAAGGTAGGGAGGACTTCTTTGCCTGTCGGGCTGTAAGCAGACTTTTAGAAAAACTGATATTACAATATTTGACCGGGATGTATTAGTCCTTCCTAATCAAGGGGATAGATAGTGCAGTGAACTAGAAGACAGAGAGTTAAATGTCAACAAGAGTATGTAAAAATCTTACTTGAGGCAGTGCAGTGTGGTATCTGCTTATTATGGTAGCTCCATTTCTGCTCCCAAAACCACAGGCAACGGTAGCATTTTCATTATAAACACAGATCAATAATTTGGTCAAAAATTCTCAAAGACCCAGCATCTTAACCAAGAAGCTCTTATGAAAATGAAGACGTCTACTGAGCATGCTTGACTCTTTGTCTTTAAAGAAGCTAGCGTTCGCATTTCTGTTACTGTCATAGCCACTCCATCCTATGTATAGATATATGATGGAGTACTGCATTTAAATAAGCTATTGTTTGAACTGTAGTAGACTAGAGTTTTATAAATGTGCTTTTTGAAAAGGTCCATCCATGTGTATTCCGTAATAGTTTGCCATGTCTCTTATGGAAGACCACCTCATTCTGCAAAGTATAAGTGACATATTTTGACATTTTTCCCAAACAGATATTGACATGATAAAGCAGATGTGAGAGTTTCATAAACGTTAATCTATAGTGAAAAATCATCTGATTTTAAAATCCTGTAAAATTATATTCCTTAAAAAGCCCAACCAATGTTTAAAAAAAGAGTTTTGACAGCTCAGAAATAACTAGTGTGGCATATACGGTTAACACCTGACGTTTATGTGAGGTTTTGAGTACTGTTAGCCCAAAGAAATCCAAAGGGAATTAAGAGATATTTTCAAGTGATACTAAGAAGAGGGCAAACCATTCAACTGCCTGGAGATTGAGAAGTTACTGAAATGCAGCTTCCAGTTTACTGCATTGAGCCACTTACTACAAGGGTCTCCAAGCATTGAATAATCTCAGAAGCCTATATGCCACTGAGCCATTACAAACAGGGTGAATTAAGGACATATTTTCCAGCCCTTGTTCTTTTCTTCTTCTACTTCTTTTTTTTTTTTCCTTTCTTTTTTTTTTTTTTTTTCTCTTTTTCTTTTCCTCTGCTAGATCTTTCAGGTTATCTGCGTGTGGTTAGTTTATAGTTTAATTCAATTATCACACAGGAGCTTAATGACACTGTCTCTAGACAACATGAAGAAATATATCTGCCTTGAATCTCAAACTGCTGCTGCATATGGTATGAATAAAGAGAGATCTGCAGCTGAAAACCTGCAGTAAGACAGTTCTCACTCATCTGGGAATAGAGGGGGTAGGACAAATGCTCCCTCAAAAGGCATGAACATTTGGACAGAGCTGGGGACTGAAGGAGAATGATGTTCTCCAGTTTCACCCATTAGTGAACCAACTAACAAACACAATGGTGTTGTTGTTATTCTTTTGCCATAAGCAACAGGACTCTGTGTGTGGGCAGCAGTTTAGTGGGGAGGAGGATAAGTCGACCCCTTTTTGTCCTATTGATTTTTTCCTATTTGCATGACTTGAGCAAATTAAATGATGCAATATGGCTTTTTGTTACAAAACAAAGTGAGAGATACCACCCAGACACATATGTTGATTCGTAGAAGCTGTTTACATGAGAATGGAGTGAAATCTACCGTGAACCGAGCATAAAAATTCGATTCAGGCTGGGCATTTTTTTTATTATGCCTGGGCCAGCAAGCCTGAAACGCAAGTTTTCCAAGAGTCTCGCAGACCTTGACAACTACAGAGTTGTAACCGAGGAATTCTTAATTAAACCTTAAACCGGGATGGAAAAGGGAGGGAAAAAGAGAGGAAAGAAAAAGAAAAAAAAAAAAAAAAAAAAGACACCTGATTGTTGATTTCACGTGCAGCGCTTCCTAATGCCGCTGCCCGGCCGCGGGAGGACGGGGGCACGGCGCCGGGCGCTGCGCGGAGCGGAGCGGAGCAGCCGGGCGGGCAGAGGAGGTGCCTCCCGCCCGGCCTCTCCCTCCCTCCCTCCGCATGACGGCGGCTCCGGGAGGCCGCCAGGTAGCGGGGGAAGGAGGGGCGGCCGGCACCTGGCGCCGGCACCCCCGGGCACCCCCGGCTCGTCCCCGCGCCGCGCTCCCACCCCAGACCTGCCCGAGTACACGCGGGGGGAAGCGGGCACCGCTGTTCCTTTCTCCCCCTTTTTTTTTTTTTACTTTGGAAACCCCAGCAAAATAAACCGCAAAGCGCCGCCAAGCCACTTCCCAGCCCCGCCGCTGCCCTGCGCACCCGTGGGCAGCCCCCGGGGCCACCCGCCCCGTCAGGTTAGCGCCGGGGCAAGCCAAACTCGGCACCCCCCGGCCCGCCGAGGCAGCCGCGAGTCCTCAGGTGGCGCCTACCTTGGTGTCGGCGTGCAGCAGCCCCGGCGTGTCAGCGCGGGGGCAGCAGGAGAGGCGCGGGTAGAGGCCGCGGCACATCGCCTCCCCGCCGCCCGGCGCCTCCGGGGCCAGCAGCCGCCGGTCGCGCTTCTTCAGCCGGCGCGGCGGGGTCCCGTTGAGGCACCTTCTCCTGCGGGCGCCGCTCTCCCCGAACTTGGCATCCCCCTCGAAGAAGCACAGCACCACGGCCACCAGCAGCAGCTTAAACGGCAGCATCTTGAGCATCATGCCTGAGGGAGCGCGTGGATGCACCCAAAAAAAAAAAAAAGGGGGGTGGGGTGGGGGTGGGGGGGCGAGGGGGGAAGGAGGGGAATCCCACTGACTTTGCTTTGCACTTCGGGCCGGGAAAACACCTCCCTCCCTCCCGCACGAGGGGGAAGCCTGCGGCCGCGCTCCGAGGAGGGCAAAAAAAATAATAATAAAAAAAATAAAAATAAAAACACAAAAAACCCAAACCAAAGAACCCAAGGGGGGGCGCGGACCCCCGAGCCGAGCCGCGCCGCGCCGCGCCGGGAGGACGGGATGCTCGGCGGCGGGCGGGAGGAGCCGCGCGGGCGGCACAGGTTCAGCAGCAGCGGCCGCTGCCGCGCCGAGGCGCCGGGGCTCGGGGCGGGCCGGGCAGCGGGCGGCGGCAGCCCCTCAGTCGCCGTCCCATAGGAAGGGTGTCCCCGCGGCGGGGCGGCGGTGGCCGTGCCGGGCGATGCCCCGTCCGCTGCCGGCCGCGGCTCAGCGGGGCTCTCATGTTTCGCTCCCTCTTTTCTTCTTCTTTTTAAGCCGCGCGCGGGGAGGTGCTGCCACCGCGCGCCCTGCACGTCACCCGCCGCCACCGGCCGCGCCGCGCCGAGCCGCGCCGCGCAGCCCGGGCAGGGAGCGAGCGGCGCGGGGGCGCGGCCGGCCCGGGGGGCAGGCGGCGGCGCCACGCCCGGCAGCGGCAACGGCCGCCCGGCAACCGCCGGCCCGTAACGGCCGCCCGAGGTGGGTCTCGGCCGCCGAGCCCCGAGGGGCGCCCCCCCGGCGGGCAGCGGGGCACGGGGAGAGCCCGCGGGGCGGCCCCGCCCGGGGCAGGTGCAGCCACCTCGGGGGGAGCGGGCGGCGGCGGAGCTGGCGCTGAGGAGAGACTCCTCACGGCGCCTGGGGAAGGGGAAGGGCAGGGGAGGGCTGCGGGCAGCTCCTCACGGGCAGCGGCGCTGCTCAGGGCGCCAGGGGCCGTTACTGTGCGCCTCACGTTTAGCTGAATCTCTTCAGGTGTAGTCTTGAACTCCTAAGCAGCCCGTTGTGAGCTAAATCGGACTAAATTTTTGCAAGGAGTACCTCAGGTAAAGCGTTGTGTAGACATAAAGATCCATAAAGATCTGTCCCCTCGCACTCAGTACGTTTCTTGGAGGCTGGTGGCTCCTGAACTCATGACCGCCACTTGACTTGCTGCTGACTCGTTTGGCCAAAAAAAACCGTTCCCGACCAGGGCCTGAGCCACACCGAGTGCAGCGATTGCGGGTACGGGCTGTAGGGGCTCTGGGACAGCGTGGCCCCAGCACTCGTGTTGGTGGGTGAAGTCAGCATGGCACCCTTAGAGCATCGCCAGCACTGGTGGTGATTCAGCTGTCCTGCCTTGTTGTTTTCGAAAAAAGCCCTGCTTGGCACTGGGGGATCGTGTCCGTGAGCGGCCTGGCTGGCAGAACGGTAGCAATGTGACTATACCGCAAGAGCCGTGCCACATTTACTGGGTTATTACATAGGTTGTTCTGAAAGGAAAGTGATTCTGGTGAAAAGCAGAGCAGCGATATCAGAAGTCATTTTTATTCCCAAGCAGTCTCCCCACGGAGGATTATGCTGGCAGAACTGTAGTGGCAGAAGTATGCAGCTGAAGGTCCGACTGCCTCTTTCCCCATGTAGGCAGGTGGTCAGACTTTTCAAACGGATTTTGCATTGCTTCTCCCTTACTGGAATGGGAAAGTGGAACTGAGTGGAAAGAAGTGACTGTGGGGCAGATACCCTCTTGAAAAAACAAATGTTCAGTGAAAGTGTCTGTTGAGCAGTTGCTGCCCGATCCTCACAGGTCCCGTCTCTCTGGAGGAAAAAGGGAGTGAGGAATATAAATCTATATGATCAAAGTAACGCAGCTATTAGTAAATAACATTTCTTCTTCCTTCAAGTGCTGCCTGCGTAAATATCCGTTTCTATGTATACCTGTACTGGTTCTCAGAGGAGGTGAGTTTGAGGTGTAGTAATTAAATAGAGAATGATTTCCTGAAATGGGAAGTTACCGAGCTAGGAAAGAGCTGTCAGCTTGTGAAGGTCAGATTCCACACAGAAGTTTTACACAGAAATTCTGTGGAATGGCCAATGTCTATTGACCTGGTATAACATGAAGTGCTCAAAACTTGAAGCTCTGTAGTGATAGAGGGATATAAAGGTGTATAAGTAAGACTTGAAGAAGGTTGAATGTTCTTTATAAGCTCTGAATAGAAAATGCTGATTCTTGGGGTTTTGTGCAAGAAGACATAATTTACTCTTATGTTCCTTTCCACACTTCAAAAAAGTTCATGACAGCTTCTTTAAGAAAGTCATATATATTTTTTCAAGCTGGTTGGTATAGGAATTTATTTATAAACCTTTTTAATAATGCAAAGTTAAGGTCAGTATTAGTATATGCCATTCCAGAGTGTCAGCTTCAGGTGTCTCTCAACCTCTGATAAACAGAGATAAGGGAATACTTAGGAAGTGGAAACATATACATAGGAAATATGGTTAATAAACACATCAGTCTTTTAATGCAACCTGGATTCTGTCATGTGAACTTCATTACTGGAAATAATTAAACATGGTAATGCCATAAGTAGAGGTGAATAAACTCTGTAATTTGTTTCCAGGATGTAGGCGAGAATCTTCCAGTTATGCTACAGTTATGTGTGAGAAGGATAGCAAGTTAAAAGGAAGCTACTACTGCTGTGGTATTGGAACATAGCTAGATTTTCTTCTAGTTTTATCCAGGAGATAAGCAGACTGTGCTTATTTATACCATTACCTTTACTATGTTTATTATTGTCTATATCGTAATACATCATGGTATCTGTATAGCATGAGTCAAATGTGTCAGAATACCCTTCAAATAACAACATAAGGCTAAGACAGTGGCATATGCTTGAACTTAACAGTTACTATTTTTCAATTGTGTTTGTTCTTTTTAATTTATGTGGCTCAGTAGTTGAATTCAGATTGTCATAAATATTTTGCAAGAGAATTTAAATGTACCAAGATATCTGCTTTCGGATTTAAAGTTAGTGAAGTCCTTAGTATTTTGAACAGAAGAGAAAATATGTGGAGCAACTAGTGTCAGTTTTGAGAAGTGCAGTTATCATCTAAGTTTACAGGTAGGAGCAGAAGCTGAGTGAAGGGATCTAATGGCATGATGAGGATTGTGCCTGATGGAAGTAATTGGTAGCACCACATTTATTCCTAAACCGCCAGCAGATGTTGTCTGGCAGTACACCTTTAGGTATTTTTGTGATTCACACAAGAACTTTGTGTACGGTCACCTCACTTTACAGCTAAGCTGTGTAAGTTTAACAGTACAGGTTTTTTCGTCTCAGCAGTGAAAGCAAGGCTACATTCTAGCCTTTCACACTGATGGATAATACTTAGCGTGCCATGAGGTGGAGTTCTGGAGTTCTGCAGCACTGGAGCAGGCTAGGAGACAAACCAATGCTCACCTTAGTTTGCATCTGAGAAAGTGCAGTATTTAAGACACTGGTACAGGAAGGTTGCACCCCCGCCACCATCGGGGACATTTCACTGGGTGAAGCAGGTGGACTTCAGCTCTTGGAGAGTGGCTCTGCTTTTGCTTTAGCTGAGTTGGACTTCTCAAACACAGTTCTGTCTTGCTAGTTATTTTAAGATAAAAAGCTTTCATTATCAGGTGAATTCACTGTCAGATGAAATGAGAGTGGAATCTCTCCATAGCTCATCAACAGCGCACTTTTCAGTGAGTCCTTAATAACATTATACGTGTTATTTAAAACACTCTCCCTAAACTGTGGGATGTGTGATTCTACTTTATAGCTTATTTATTCATCTTCTTGTTGGGGCCAGTGTGTATCACAGCAAATTCTGCATCAGAGAAACCACAGTGTGAGAAACACTCAGTCATGGATTCCCTAGTGTATACGCTCAAAGTTAGTGTTCCAATTCCAGAATAAATTCTGAGAAAAAAAAAAAAAAGCATTAAACTTTGAATTTTGTATCTTTCACTCAGAAAGGAAAGCAGAACAATCTTTCTAAAGCAGTCAGAAAATTCATTTAGATTACTTTGAAACAAAGCTGAGCTTGAGAGTCCAGGATCAGAGGCTTCTGCCTAAGCTGTGGCTTCTGAAAGTTAATGGTCCCAGCTCCCTGTTTCCCTGTCAACTGGATGGACAGAGACCCAGGAATCTGGAAATTTGGAGTGAGAACTTGGGCAGGAATTTCAAGGTTTGGCAGTCTGAGCTTCTGTGCTTCTGGCTTTTTTTTTGGGTAAAAGCCTGACTGTGCTGAGAGTCCTGTTAGAAGTGAAGCTGAGAGTTTTTTCTGGCTCTCTGCTGCATCACCGGGGTGAGGGTTCCTGTGGCTTCAGGGCAGGGAGCTGGAATATCAGGAAGCCCTGACTCTGGGACAGTCTTTATGGCAGGAGTTCCCCACAGCTGTGAACTCTTCAAGTCCATTTGCCATAGCAGCTCCCCTGGTAATGAAGAAGGAAGACTGCTGGAGTGGTTTCATTAAAGCATCTTGCGGTTAGTCAGAAGTTTATAAAACCATTATTTTTTTGCTTATGTTTCTGCTTGTGATGTAACAGAAATTTTCAGTTTGGTCAGAACATTTCTGGTTGGTTCTCTCCACCATATACTACGGCCCACATCATTTCATGGTGTTGAGAATAACATGTTGCTTGTCTTTGCATACCACAAATACGAGGTGTGAAAGCTGGTGTAACATGAATGAACAGGACTTGCAAGGATATTTTTTATGGGAAAATAGGTGCCCAGACAGTCACAGACAAGTTTTTAGGGTATGTCTTTACCACAGAGTTCCCCATGGCTCTTAACAGAAATCCTCTAAACCAGCTGAAGCCACCTGGACCATTTGGGACTATAAACCAACGTGTCTGGTCTCTGAACATGACTTCAAAAAAACCTGAGTCCTGTCAGGGTACAAAAGCAGTATTCGGCTGATGTTAACTCCACTTGATTGGCCCATCAGGGAATATGAAGTACAGATTATTTTAGCACATCACGTCAGCTGCTAACACAAACCTTCAATTACCTGCGTTCAATTTTGCAACATAAGCTAGGCTAACTAGAAGGCAGATAAAGCAAACCATTTTGTGAAGGAATGAAGACTCAAGAGGCCCGCTTGCCTATGGTCTGCATACTTTTACTACCTGCTGTAATTCACCTCAACAACATGTCTCTATTTATGTTTGTTACAAAGAGACAAAAGAAGCCGCTGTGGAAAAAAAAAAGTCTTTCTTAGCAGGGACTGTAATAACCCCACTGCCGATTGCAGTTTACCAGCCATGTGTATGCCATCCCTTGCTCCAGAGCTTGGGGTGTCCTTACGTCCTCTAAGAACACTTTGTATAAGATGGCAATCGAGGAAACTCTGAAATGCTTTCAAGAGTTATCAAAGAGGTAAAGGTCTTTCTGAATAAGCAATATTGTGCATGACAGAGCTAAATAGTGGGCCTATATACTTCTGCCTCGTAAGATTTGTTGCTTGCCAAGGGCAGGGCTGGAAATGATAGCCCGGCAGCGTTAAAACCAAGCAGTCACAAAACTCTGCTGAGTAGCTCAATGACTGGCATGTCAGATAGGAT